CTGATTTGACACTTTTTTAAAAGTAGAAAAGGAAGAAAGCTTGCATTCACTTAAAAGAATTAATACCCTAGACTGCTGACTGATTGAACCTCTGAAGCATAATTTTAAAATGGAAATGTTAGTAGAGTATCCCTTTATTGCCAAGGGTTTTAAGGACGAGTTGGTTTGGATATTTTCTCTTTTTCATACTGACACGGGTGCTTTTATCAATTTAAACACACTAACATTAAACCACTAAAAGGCATGTGGGTTTCAATAAAACTCATTTTTTATATCTTCAGCCCATATAATCAAATGAGCTGCTTTAACTTTTTTTAAGCAGAAAAGATAATAAAGCTAAATGAAAAGTCCCAGAGCTTAGTTTTAACACTAAATGGTATTTTAGATGAAACAGTTAAGGAAAGTACAGTTTGTAACTCTGAGATAAAGATAATGGCTTAAATCTATCTTTATGTTATGGGTATTCTTCTTGAAGCTGCAAAATTGATAAACACATTTTCAGTTCTCACTGGCATGAGCTACTACAAGCTGAGTGAGACCAAAGATGCTGTTATTGAAAGAGCATTTGATGAATATTAGGAATTGGAGGATCTTTCCCGACTACACCACTAGCATGCTGGTAGACTGTGGACAAATTGCTTCTGTAATTCTGCTTTCTAATCTGCAAATCAAAGATAATAGCATACACTTCTAATGCAAGATCTGTTGATCCCTAAATAAGAGATATTGTAAGCTTGCCTATCTTTTTTGCCAATTCAGTTGGTTTCATGAAATAGCTTATGTTAGTTAAGATGAGAGAAAATTAAGAACAGAAAGTAGTACCAGACAGACATAAGTTTATTTAAAGGTCTTGTAATGAAGAAAGGAAAGTACTCACATAACTACAGAAAGAATAAAATAGTGATTAAAGCAGTAAAGCAAAATGTGCAAAGCTAATAGACCATAAACAATGCGAAAGACACACACAGCAGCAATAAAGACAGAGTCATTAAGACATTTTAAAAGCACCAATTAGGGCCAGGAAGGAACACTACCAGAAAAGGTGTGCATTTATATACATAATTGCATGTGCATATGTGTGCATGCATACTCACAGTCATGCAGAAAGAGAAAGAAAAATATCTAACAGCCTTTAGGTTGGAAAGAAACTTCGGGAGTCAGATTCTCTTGGTGGTACTTCATTGCTTCACCCATCCAATAGAATACAATTCACAAATGAATTAGGGCTGTGGAGAGGGAAGATTAAGACTGATTCTAGCTTGCACATATAAAGGGTACTGCTTTTTTCTGAAATTCACTGCAGTATGTAATTATAAATACATATAATTAGGTGACTTAGATCTCACAGAATGACTGTACTGCTGCTTTCTGCATGACTTGGCTATGCAACCAAAATGTGCAACCAAAATATGCAATGTAAATCAGAAAATAATTACCCTGAGGACTCAGAAACTATTCTAAGAGTGTTTACTTGAGAAATAAGGAAAAAGCAGTCATGAATTTGGCTAATTATTCCAGAAGATAGAATTACTGCTCTTTATATTTAACAAGGAGTTCAAAAACTAATAAGGTGATTTGTATCTCAGCTGACCATCAACTCCAGCTGCATATTTCCTTATGGTAAAGAAATTTCTAAGGCTCTTATCAAACTAACTACCAGTAAAAATCCAAGCTAAATTTTTTTGCATCCTTCTTTACAATCAGGGGCACTGACTGTCTACCTCACCTGAATTCTCACTCTGCTGACCTCCAAGAAAGCTGTTTGACACAGTTGTCTTTCAATATGATATTCCTCTATTCAAAAGTTATTTCTTCAAAAGCTATTTGGATGAATAGGAAGAAAGAAAACGAGGAGGATAATGGCAGAGAGACATAGAAAGTAAATTACACAAACCTGATCCCTTTGGAACAAAATATCACCTGCATATGTTCAAGTGAGTTCAAAAACCTCCATGACATAGAACTTTCATAGGGGTGACTGATAAATCAGAGCAGAAATTTTAATCCATTCAGTATAGCAGATAAATGCTAACTTATTCTCTGACCAATGGAGGGACGCCTGTTTTAAATACCTCAGCTACTCATGCTTGAATTTCATCCAGACAAACTATCTCGTGGGATTGTGGATCCATGGTATGCATTGAATGCAATTAACTTCCCAGCTTAACATATTGCTACCCAGAAATAGCAGCAAACACAGCATGACTGTGGCATCAAATTTTTAAGATATTAAAGAAATACTTTCCTTGTTTTGTAATTTCAACTATAAATCACGGGAAAACAAATTTGTAGTGTCTCTTTGTCTTATTCTTCTTTGACAAGTGCTTTAGACAGAGTGGGGAAAAAATCAAAACTGGAGACATACATATTTTTTCTGGCACCAGGAAGACATATTCCACCTAGTTAACACTCTCTGCTAAAAGAAAAGCTTTTATGACAATTTACAGAAGGAAGATAACTCCACTTCGTGACATGCAAGTTTGTCCTTGTGGTCAAAAACCACAAATGCAGATGAAGAACCCCTTCTTTATCCACTTCTAATTTTCAGACCCTGGATTTCCTTTTCTTCTCAGCTGTGTGTACCTCTCAGCATTCAACGGCAGCTTTCTTCACTGAAAAAAATTTGCATTCTCCTTAAAGATTTTATGTCTATGGTGCCAACAGTCTGTTGCCGTACCACTTGACATTTTTTATGGAAGAATGTTACCCATAAAGAAACCTAAATTAAGTGCAAATTTAGGTATTTAAAGAGGTTAAAGTTTCAGAAGAGCCAAGAGGTTGCATGCATCAACTGAGGCCAGTGTATTTTGCAAGTGCTCAGAATCTCTGTGTCATTGGGGGACCAGACATCAAGTTACTCTCTGCATTATTGGGATGTTCTGAAGAACCACCAAACCTCCTACTAAAGAATTATATGCAATGCTTCTGAACAAAGGGAAAATTAGAAACTGAATAATAATTTATAGAGTTGTGATACAGTTTAGTCTTACACTTGCTTAAGTTTCACATTTTATCTCCCTGAGTCAATGACTTCTTCAAATTCCTTAGAGAATGCAGAAGACCAGAAGTAGAAATGCATTATGCTTTATCTAGTGTGCATGAATAAGATAGCATCTTATTATGTTTTATGGAACAGGCACAGCAAACAAGAAGTAGCTAGCATTTAATGAACACAGTGCTTAGTTTTAGAAAATTTATCTGTGTTACTTCTTTCACCTCTGAAAAACTCAGATTGTATTTAAAGCACATCTTTTACATGTACATACAATTACAACTGAACTGAAATCTTAGGTTTAGTGCATTGGCATGAACACTGCACAATTACTGCAATTACACTCAGGCTTGTACTTTACAAAATATCCTCAAAAATCACAATGTGGTATCCTTTAGTCATCTAAACACAGCTTTACTGTGAGAGTGATCACAAAACGCAAACTTTTACAAATGGACTACTTATTGTTTAAACACACCTGCTGTAGCTGTCATATTCTCATTCCTCTTATTTTAGCCACACATTGATTATTCATCATAAAACCTCTTGTAATAGCTTAAAAAAATGCGCTCTCTAGCAATAGCTGGGATTGGATAATGAACTGAATCCAAGAAGCATTTAAGTTCTTCTTCATTGAAAGGGCATTTCTATTAAGAGGAAAGCACCTTCCTTGCCAAATTCAAACCAAATCCTAGGCATAGGTGGCTCATCTGTTCCAATGGCACTCATTACCATTCTTGTCCTAGAAGCCAAGACACATCTCTGAGCTCTTGTGATGATAAATTATAGGGGGAAAGAAAATAAACTGTTTTATAAAGAGTTTCCTGGCTCACAGCCAGACAGTAAGAAAAGTGTATGGTGAAACCATCCCATCTCTGTCTATCTGATGGGGAAAAAAACCCCTGATGAACAACAGCATTGTATTGAGATGCAATTGCACACAATGGGCACTGTGTGACAGCACTCCAAAGTGTCTCATGGACATTTATTGTCTTTAGAAGAAAAAGCAGTTTTAAAGCAGCTTAAGCAAAAATTGGTGAATTTTTTATCAGCCTGGGGTGAGGAGGGAAGAAGGAAAGAAGGGTATTGGCATTTCAATCCCTTGCTGCTTTGTTGGAGTATATGGTGATCTCAGGAAATCAGGTAACTTTTTTATCCTGCTACAATGCAAATGGGAAAAGAGGTTTACATGTCTCTTTCCATGTTGTGCTATTGTTTTAATTTTCTTACATGCTTCTTGTTCCCACTGTGGGTAAAAGATGCAGCAGCTGTTCCCTCTCTTCACTCATACATGAAGAGCAGAAGAGAGAGGTCAGCTCTTGTTCCATGGAGAGGAAAGGGCAACAATCCCAAGAGTTCATCTGCTGCCAACTCATCACATTTGAAATTCCCAGGGAATTTTACCTGTGCATCTCAGAGACAAAACAAGGGGGTCTCCAAAATTAAACTGTGGAAGGGGAGATGGAATGTTGCCTCCCTTGCCTTTCCCATGAAGAGATAGACAACTCCATATCGGTTCTTTTAAGTTTAGTGCACTGGTTGCTCTGCAAAGTCTGCCTTTGGTTCCAAGGGAACATTTTGCAGAAGGAGGTATTGCTTACCATTTGTAATGTTGGTAGGATAAGATTTCCCCTTTGAAAGGGAAGAGAAAGGGGATGAACATCAAGGCTTAATGTGCCAAGACTTGAAAATATATTTACATGCCAAAGTGGAACTCTTGCTTTGAACACCAGCCACAACAGCCTTCTGCACTTTGGGTAGTTCATTAACAGAAATCAATACAAGCTGCCTTTTAAGAAAGCTAACACTTGTTCATCGACACACTTTGTAATTCCTTTTAGCAGAAGTATCAATGCTTACAAATGTGCAGTAAATTATGGCAAAACTGCAGAATGTCAAGGCTACTAAAAATAGTTTCATTTCAGCACAAACTTGAAAGATTAACCTAAATACAATGAGAAAAAGAGTAATTACTAAGAAACACAGAAAAAAAAAGTGTTGTCTTTACCTGGAGGCCCTTCTTCTCTATCTTTTTCTGGAGTATTTGAAGGCACTTGGTGAAATCTGTGAGGTCCTGATCCATGGTTTCAATTAACTCACATCCCTGGTGAAGAAGCAACAAAACGAGAGAGAGAGAAAAATAAAGAAAAAAAAAGTCAGTACTTTTTCTATTTTGAGAACTAATGTCTTTGGTGAAATTAACTGCAGACAACCACTCAGAGTCTCTGCATGGAGATGCAGGATTAAGTAAAAGACCCTTACAGAATCTAATAACTGTAGGTCCCAGTTGAACTAGTTACTATGAACCAACAGTTTGACAGGTCCAGGAGTATATACTCAAAGCCATTTGAGTGCATCTGTGAGTTTGGATAAGGATGTTTTACAGTGGTCTGCCGGATGGGCAAATTCTGGTGTAGTGAGTCCTGGGTGATTGGTAATTTTCAGGAAAATGTCTGTCCTCTCTGGCACTGCACTTATTGTGTCTCTGCTACAAACATTCAAACCTGTATAAATGTGAGCACAGGAAAGTGTTCAAGCACCCCAGAAACAGTGTAGTTGTACTGCAGTCAATTCGCAGTGGTTCAACAACAGTTTCCTTGCACTGGGCTATTACGGCTCAGAACATGTTAGAGAAGAGCAGGAGCTCAGATTTCTTAACTGAAAGCTAAGGCAATTTCTAAGACTCTGATAAAAAGCTGAGTAATGAAAAGTGAAGTGTATCTACCACATAAAGTCACTATTCAAAAAGGTTTAAAGAATAAAAAATACCTAGTACAGCATTGTGAATTAAAATTAGAATCATACACATTAGAATTTAGAAGTTTCCTCTCCTACCACTTCAAGGTTCCCTTAAAAACCTTCTAGCTTTGTCTTACTTGACAGATTTTATGTTTCTGCTATACACAATAACAATCGATAAGAGAAAAGCATTCCGAATACAGAATCTTTGTATGTGTGCCTCTGTGTATATAGTACATTACTCTGTTACATCAGAAAAAACCCCAAACAACAAAGCCAACATAAAAATGTTAAAGTTGCCTTTACCTTGGTGATAAAAATAAAGGTAGAGAATACAAAATATCCAAGATTAGTGAAGGCATGGAGTTTTAGTGAATTGCATGCAACAAAGTAACAACCCTCCAATAGGAAGACATACACTACCACTGAAATGCTTTCCCACACAGCCAGAATACATATAAAACCAAATAAAGTCATCAGGCAGTAGGGGATTTTGATAAAGTAGAAGAGAAAAGTGAGAAGATAATAACAGGCTTTCCCTTACACTTCTGTCCTCAAAAACTTCTGAAAGAAAACGGGTCAAAAGTAGCAGTCTTTTTGAGACCTGATATTGCTCTAAATATTTTTTCAAGTAGTAATAATAGGCTTGCCAAGATGAAGCAGCATGTAGCTGCAACAGCACACGTAATCAGAGACCTCCATTGCAGAAGTGATGCTGCTTCCCCTGCCAAGTGGTGAGGGAAAAGGTAGTTGTATTCTGCACTCAGTGCTAAGCACAAAACTCTTTGAAGAGCTGTCATATCTTCACTTTTCTCTAGAAAAGACCTAAAACGTAAAATTGGCAAGAGGAGACATGACACAGGCCATCTGGAGCCCGTAATGAACATGTGAGTCTGGCAACATCAGCCAGAGACACCCAGTGAGCCCAGGAAAGGAGCCCAGAGGGTTGTTCAGTCCCACTCAGGAAAGCTCAGTCAGACCTGAAAACTACTGAAGGGAGCTTGTTTATCAAAGCCACTCTAAATGAAAAAGTGTCACATTCACTAAGGATGGGGTGTTCTCAGATAGTTTTAATATCAGCACTGATAGTGGGAAGAGAGACCAAGCTGTGAGAAACCATGAATAGACAGGACATCAGTATTTCTCAGACAGCCTCTGAGCAGCTTGAGAACATGACAGATGAAGACTAAATCAGTGGCAGGGACAGCTACTGCTGAGTATGGGAGAAGACACAACCTCAGTTGCCAGCTCTTAAATTAGCAGTAGAGAAGTCAAGCCTTTCATCTTTTGCCAGGGCCATTCCTTGGCTTCACAGCATTGGCAGAAGTAAGCGATGAATGAAAAATTTAATCCCCACTCTGCTTCAGCAAAATAGTCCTTCCTGCAGTCATTAACAAGCCTGATGTTGAACAGGCGGGTTTGTCAGCAGAAGGTAGGCTGCAATTCTACTTTCCACACTAGGAATATCAAGGTGTCTGGGGATTTTTTTTGTTGTTTCTTTTTGTTTTGTTTTGTTCTTTTGGTTTGGTTTTTTTTTTTTTTTTGGGGGGGGGGTTGGTTGTTTTTAATGATGGTTTACAACACCTTAAATTATGATTTATTATTTTATGCTATTACTAGAAACATTTCTCTTGAGTTTAATTCTTGCCTAGCATCTCAGGATATTCTTTGACAAAAAACTATTCTAGAGGAACTGCAAGGTACTACCAAGGCAAGACAACATTAGCATAGTGATTGGAGGGCACTGAAGGTCATTCAGCTCTGGGAGAAAGCTGTGCTGCACCATGCACAGATAATGTAAGTTCAGCCCTGCTACTGTTTTCTGTGCATATTCACAATAAAAGGCCTCAAACACATATCACTGGAATGCAGTGTAAATATGTGAATGGGATGTCACATGCACTGTTCATTAAAGGCAGAGTACTGCACCTATGAGTACAGTAAGAGCTGGTGCTTATAAGTGCCTGGAGCTGTTTACTCACTGCCTGTACCTTCAATGTTTTACACAAGTACTGCTGCAGATCATCATATCAAAAAATGTTGATAGAGTGTAACCATTAAAGACACTGCTCTCTTCAAATTAAATTGTGATTTCTCATTCTCTTTCCACATCAAACAGATAGCCAGTTGTAGAATCGGCAGAGATTTTAGTCCTGCTTTTTGCCACAATGTCAAAGAGACTGGCATGGTCAGATTGAACAGGGAGAGGGGACAAGCAGCAGAACTGGATTCTCCATCCTCTTTACAGTCTTGCTGAATTTAATGTCTGTGCAGTTCATGTTCGCTGATGGTATAAGAGCCTCAGATAAATCTATTGCTCCTGACATATCAAGTCCAGTATTTTATGCCACAGAACTGGAAGACAATTGTAATGCAGTTCCTTTCAACCTTCACTGCATTATTCTGGAATGACAAAAATCTTAAGACAGAGCTATCCAATGCAGTCACAGTTTAATGAAAGGACAGTATAACAATGCAAGATAGGCAATAACACATGTAGTTTTATAGATACCTGCTCAACTAAATAACATTAACCTTTGGTAAGGAAGTTTAAAAGCCAAACAAATTTAACATTAGGAAAGGTTAGAAAAATCAATAGCACACAGCAGGAAAGAAAACAATAGATTTCATCTGGTGACAATACAGCTTTGGTGAATGATAGGATGAGGCAAAGAGTATGAGGCTTTTGCTGTTCTGTCTTATTATAGCAGCTATGGGAGGCGCTTTGCTAAAGAAGGAGGAGTGTGTCAGACACACTTAATAGGATTGTTGAACCCTATATTTCAGACAGACAATTCAGACAGGCACTGAAATGTCAATCTGAACATCTTGGCATTTCTCCATTTTTAGAAATGTTACACAGCACAGGACATTGTATGTCTGTAGAAAGCAGTGTGTAGTTGCCCATTCTCCCTTGTTCTTCTTAATATTTTATTAAGAGAATGTAATGTTTTTGGTTTGTTTTTTCTTTTTTTTTTTTTTTCCTGTAACCTTTCTGAGTATGGGAACATAATTAGAACAGAATACATAAAATATCCTAATGTGTACTCTATATCCCTCTTCTTCCTATGGCAAACCATTTAACACTATCTTTTGAAGCCTGTATCTGGCTGTGCTCAGTGGGTGCACCAGCGACATTCAGTTCAGTCTTTTAACAATACCTGAGCACAGAGGCTTAACTTTTAGCTATCAACCTCAAACAGATGTGCTTATGTATAGTGCTAATGGCACATATCCTCAAGCAAAACAAGGAGAAAGGAGACAGCATGTAGATTCTCTCAAAATCAGAGCACTGACAAATAAATTTTAAGAAATTTATATACATTAAATGTTATCTCCAAACATTCTTCTTCTCCTAGCCATTACCTACACAAACAGCAATGTACCCACTTTATCCTAATATTTCACTGACCAACTGAGTAAGAGCTGTAGATTCTGAGAACTATTTCATTTGGAAGGGACTTTTCAAAGTCATCTGGACTGATCTCTTGCTAAAAGTAAGTTAGATTTGCTCAGGTTTCTCAAGGCCCTTTCCAGTTCAGGCTTAGCTGGAAATGGAGTCACATCTCCCAGGATGGAAATACCACTTCCCTGGGCAACCTCTTCCTGTGCTTGACCACTCTTGTGAAATTTTCTTTCCCAGTGTCAACCAGTGATCTCTTGTATTGCAAATAGTGGTTGCTGCTTCTTCTCCTACCTCAACTTAAGGAAGAATCTTCTTTTGTTTTCTCTCTGCCCTTCCATTAGAAGGTTTAGGACAACAATATGATCTGCTGCTCACCTTTTCTTCTGGAGCTTTGAACCTGACAGTCCACATCAGCCTTTTCTCATGTCATATGTTTTAGACTTCCCTAAAATGTATTTCCCTCACTTGTACTGTATCAGCATGCAGTATTTCCACCTTGGAGAGCCTGAAGAGGTCATTTAAGAGCAAGGAGGCAGAGGGTTCCCAGATCTCCTTTCCTTGTAAAGTAAATTTCTGGCCACAGGGAATTTCATTTTGCCCCTCTGGTATCCTCTTCCTCTTTATTCCACCCAGAGAATAACTCCAGCCTTCACATTCCTCATACACTAACTGCAGCCACCTGATAGTTTTAGCCTCCCCAACATTTTCATACACAAATGTGAAGCAGACAAGAATTTGCATCCTGAATTGGACTCAACAACTCTAGGAAAAAGCATACATGGATTGAAGCAAAGTACTGCTTTATGTACAGAAAGAGGAACAGAAATGGACTGCAGGATCTGTCTGCAGGTCTTGGACTAGGCCTAGCAAAGAAGATAAAACATGTGGATGCATAACCCTACAAGTTCAACAGATGACAGACATTATGTTCTACCAGCTCATCTGTAATAGGAGGGTGG